GTTATACACATACACAGAGATAATACACACACACACACACACACACATGCAAAACTCGATTGGGATAGGGTGGAGTAAATCAGCAGCTAAGTAAGTAAAATGCTTCATAAATTGCTTCAAGTGGCGCAGCTGGCTGACAGCAGCTTTGAAAGCATTATGTGCTAGCAAATGTTGGCCCAGGACACCAAAGACAGCCAAGGATATGGCTATCCTAGTGCGTGTGTATGGGCGAGAGTGTGTGTGTGTGAGTGTGTATTTGCTGGGGCATCCGTTTTAAAGCATATCAGCATGCATAAATCTAAATCAAAGCCATCAAATGAAGAAATTCTAACGAAAATCAAAGTCACTTTCATCATCATCATGTTGAATAATCATAATCACCATCATCAACATGATACGTAATACATAATGAGTATTAGTGTATTTTCTTGTGAACCCATTTGCCTCTGACTTTTGTAGGCTGTTGGCAGAAGTTCAGGCAAGCGTGAAATTCACGCATCTCACAATTTCCCAACCAAAAATATTTGCACACTGAAAATGCTTCTGATTCTCCGGAAATTTTCAACAATATAATTTTATGCAGCCTCGTCGCTCTCTTCCTCCCTCTCTTGTTCTCTCTTACACTTCTTCTTTTTCGCACATAATTCAAACCATTGTGACAGATTTTCTCAGTGTACAGTTGAAAGGATTTGTGTGTCAGACATTTTATTTATTTATCGAATTGTTTCAAAACTGTCCAGTTAATAAGCGGAACGTGTTGATAATTTTGTATTTGAATGGTTGTTGTTTTTGCTTGGCTGTTGTTGTTACGGACTTTGGTTTTGGCTTTGGTTTTCGTTGTCTAATTTTGTGGGTCTTCAAGTTTAATTGCTTGTAAGATTTAACGGCAAATTAATAAGTTGAAAAAATGTGCGCCGGAAGCAGCAGCAATTTGCAAAGCATTTTCTATAGCCCCAAAAACTGTGTGAAAAGGGGTTCGCGTTTGAGAAGTGCTTTCAATGTGATAAATGCGACAGGAAATGTGAAATTTATTTGGCATGCTCCGGCGATAGGATGGCGATAAGCGTAAGACGCTGTGTATCGACTTGGAAATAATTAATAAGAATGAAATTGCATACAGTAAGTTTAAGTTTTAATCCTTCTTTAGAATTACATTTTAAAATACACATAAAAATATGTATATAAAATATATTAAAGCTAAAAGTAGCTTTCATCTTTATACATATAACACAACATATTATTTGGTGTACTTAGTTATAGCAAGCTATTTTGCCTTAGTTATGCCTTTAGAATATATAAACGTTTTTATTTATATTATAGCCACATAAACTATGCAGACTAAGTGTCAAACACGTCTTTATACATAAAATTCTTTGTCTGACTGACTGACTGACTAATTGGTGATCAACGCACAGCCCAAACCGTAAATTTTTACTGTAGTTAGCTTATGTAATGAAGATGCATGTTAAGACGGGGCTTTGGGAAACTCCACCCACAACAGTGGTAAATTGATGGAAAAAGATAGTATGAAAGTTATTTGTTTGCCGTCGCATCTGTTTCAAAATAATTTTCAAAGCTTTTGAAAACATTTATTTTTTAACTTATTGTTGGGGAATTTCTAGTGTGCCTAAGATGCACATAAAGAAAACACACGTAGTGGTTCGGTTAAATGTTTAATGGAAACTTCAAAGCATGAGTACAAAAATCTGAACAAGTACTCAATTACAGAATGAGTACTATGCTGATACAATGTTGCCAGATTATAAAGAAGCTTAACAGCTTATTGTCACTATTTTAACACTTCTTCTTAAGCTAATTATAATCAGTTGCAAAATAACAAATTTAATTCAATCCAAGTGTTTTTACAAAGCCTACGTGCTTTTGCTTACTTAAACATTTTGTTAGTATATCTGCAACATTATTATTTGTAGGTACGTATTCTAATGCAATATCATTACATTGTACCTTTTCACGTATAAAATGATACCTTATGTCTATGTGCTTAGTGCGCTTATGATGGACTGGATTTTGCGCAATATGTTGCGCGCTTAGGTTGTCGCCACATATAGTCAACGGCTCTGTATCCTTTGACCATCCCATCTCACTAAGTAGCCTGCGTAGATAAACTGCTTCTTTGGCAGCCATGGACAAAGAAATATATTCTGCTTCAGTGCTGCTCAATGCGACAACGCTTTGCTTTGATGAAGTCCAAGAGAACGCACTGCCTGCCAGGAAAAATGCGTAGCCACTATAGGATCTCCTGTCCAGCCGATCGTTGCCCCAATCTGCATCTGCATAGCCTTTTAGTGGTTTGCCATTTTTACGGTATACTAATTTCATATTCTTTGTACCCGCAAGATATCTTAGAATGTGCTTTGCTGCAGACTGGTGTTCTCCATGAGGATTAGCATTTCTTTGTGATAATTTGTTTACAGCATGCAAAATGTCTGGTCGGCTCAAAACTACTAAGTATAAGCGAACCAATTAATGACTGATATTGCGTTATATTTACCTTTACACAAGTATCGTCGTTGCAGTCCACTTGAAAACCTGGGTCAAGAGGTGTGCTTACTGGACGGCAATTGCTCATGCCATACTTGTCCAATAGGCCTTGAATGTGCGTCTTCTGGCACAGCGAAACGGAACCTCGATCGCCGTCGCGTTGGATTTCCATGCCTAGGAAATAGCTAATGGGGCCTCCATCGTGCATTTTAAAATTTGATGCAATCTTCTTCTTAATCACGGCTATGTCTTCTTCGCTGGGACACACTATGATTAAATCGTCGACGTAGACAGCGATGTAGCTGAATTGTTGTTGCTTTTGCTTGACGTATAAGCATGCTTCATTTTTGCATCTTTTAAAATCCATGCCTCTCAATACCTCATCGAGCGTATTGTTCCAAACTCGTCCGGATTGTTTAAGCCCGTAAAGTGCCTTTTCTAGTTTGAGGACTTTATTTGGATGCTGCTTGTCAATAAAATTCGGCGGCTGTTTCATGTACACAGTTTCATTAAGCTTACTATTTAAGTATGCGTTTGAAATGTCGACTTGATGCATATACAGCTCTTTTTCGGCAGCTATTGCGAATAACATGCGAATGGTTTCATATCGAATTACGGGAGAAAACGTTTCCCAGTAATTGACACCAAATTGTTGACCACAACCTTGTGCAACTAGTCGAGACTTAAATTTTTCAATATTACCATCTTTATCTCTCTTGATTCGGTAAACCCATTTTGAACCAATGGCCTTTTGTCCAGGAGGTAGCTCACACACTGACCATGTCTCATTTGCTTGTAAAGCGTCGTACTCTATTTGCATAGACTTTTCCCAATCCTGCGCATTTTGGCCATGTAATGCTTCTGCAACTGACTGCGGAGTTTCAATGTCTTCAATCTGATTAAGACTATTGATCAATTGGTACTGCTTTCTGGGCCTGCCTGGCTGACCTGTACGTATAATTTTTGGCCTGCCACGCCCATGTTTTACTACAGCTTCAACTTGTGGCAGCGCTACTTGGTCATTGTCGTCATCGTTGCCATCTTCTCCTGGATCGCTTGCGCTCACAAAATCCTCCTCTTCTTCTTCATTTGAGTCACTGTTGTACTCTTGCACCTCGGCAGGTTGCTCTGGGTGGTTTTTTGCAACCTCATGATTTGACTCAAACGGGATAATGTACGTCGTGAAGGTGTTTTGTCTGAAATACTGCATGCATCAGTTGTTGCTATGTCAAACTCACCTTCAATGAATTTGACATCCCTTCTTTCAATAACTGTTCGCTTCTCGCGATCATATAGGCGATATGCCTTTGCTGTAAAGGAGTAACCAACAAAAATGTACTCCTTGCCCTTTGCTTGGAACTTGCTTTTTCTGACTTTGTCGAGTGCAAATGCCCGCGAGCCAAATACTCTCAAGTGCTGTACTGATGGCTTGCGATCCTTCCATACCTCAAATGGTGTGCTTCCATCTAATGCTTTTGTGGGACATCTGTTGCGCAAATAAACTGCTGTTGCAACAGCCTCTGCCCACAAAAATTCTTCAAGCTTTGAATGAATTAGAAGACTTTTTGCCATTTCAACGATGGTCCGATTAGCACGTTCGGCCACACCATTTTGCTGCGGAGTGTAAGGAACTGTTAATTGCCTCTTTATACCGCACTCGATCAAAAATTCAGTGAATTGCTTATTCACATACTCTGTTCCATTGTCGCTGCGCACAGCCTTTATTTTATTTCCTGTTTGGCATTCTACAAAAGTTTTAAACATTTTAAACTTTTCAAAAACTTTGGCTTTTTGAGTGCATAAGGTAAACAAATATCTTGCGTGAGTAGTCATCAATAAAAGTTACGAAATATCGATTGCCTGCAAGCGACTTAACATTCATCGGACCACATACGTCTGTATGTACTAAGTCCAGTACTTGCTTTGAGACACGATTCGCTTTCTGTGGGAATGGCAATGCACAAATTTTTGCTTTATTACATGTATCGCAATTTATTTCTAATTGTACATTTTCAACTTTCATACCACGCACCAGTTGCTTATCATTAAGCAATTTCAAATCCTTAAAATTCAGGTGGCCAAATCTATTGTGCCATTTATGGAAGATGAATCAGAACTATTTAGCATATGAACCTGATCAAGACTATGTTTGTAAACATACAAACCATTTTCGTGTCTTGCCCTTATTATCTCGTTGCCTTCTTTGTCTTTTATCAGCGCAATTTTCCCTTCAAATATGGTAGAATTCTCAAACTTTGCTGCAGCACTTACTGATAAAAAATTCATGCTTAAGTCAGGGACATATAAAACATTTTGCAGCTTTAATTTTATTCTATTGCAGTGCAACTCAACACTGCCACTGCCGGGTGAATCGATAAACTTATTTGCGGCCAACATTATCGACGTCTTTTTATCAGCATACGTAAGGAACATGCTGCGGTCGCAGCACATGTGCGATGTTGCACCACTGTCAACGCACCAAAAACTCTTTTGCTTCTCCTTGACACACGTGTGCATTAAGCATAGAGACTTTTCGTCCTTTTGGCTCTTTTTATCATCCTTCTTTTTATTTCGGCAATCGCTCGCTCGATGCCCTTCTTTTCGCAATTAAAACATTTGCCTCGGAATGGCTGCTTACTGCTATTCTTTCTGCCTTTGCTTTCGACACTGTTGTTGTCCCGCGGTCCATTATGTTTGTGTGTATACACTGCTTCTGGTGTCCCTATGCCGTCTCTGCTAGCTCTTTCTTGCTTTCGCGTGGCCTCTTCTAACATTTTAACCTTGACGACTTCGAATTTGGGCAGCTCATCGCGTGTCTCAATCGCTATTACAAAATTTTCCCATGTGTCTGGTAGACTGCTCAAAAACATGATGACCTGCAACTCGTCATTGAGTTTGATGTCTAATTCTGCCAACTTTTCAATTTGTCTCAACAAATGAATTGACATATGCGACTACATCGTCACCCTGCTGCATATTGAAACGTATTAATTTTTGATATAATTGGACCTTCCTAATCGGTCCAACTGAGACATGAATTTCCTTTAGTTTTTTCCATACAGCTGCAGATGTTGGGCATGACTTGATATGCATCAACTGTGTTGGCTTCAGATTTAAAATTATGTAAGCCATCGCTTTTTGGTCGACACTAACCCATTTTTCGATATCCTCACCATTTCCTTCTGGCTTAACATATTTTCCACACACAACATTCCATAGGTCCGCCACCACCAAGACACTTTTCATGGCCATATGCCATACGTCATAATTGTCCTCACCAAGTTTTTCTATTTGATGCGACATGTTCATTTTGACAATTTCACCACGTTATTCTTCGCACGAAATAAACTTTTTAAAAATTTAACAAAAGGAAGCTTTCAAAACCATAGACACTTTGTGTACTTATTTAACCGAAAACAACGAGACCTGGGCCCATAACCAATGTTGGGAAAATTTCTAGTGTGCCTAAGATGCACATAAAGAAAACACACGTAGTGGTTCGGTTAAATGTTTAATGGAAACTTCAAAGCATGAGTACAAAAATCTGAACAAGTACTCAATTACAGAATGAGTACTATGCTGATACAATGTTGCCAGATTATAAAGAAGCTTAACAGCTTATTGTCACTATTTTAACTTATATAAGTTGCGTTAACAAATCAAACAACAAAACTTAACAGAAAACTAGCGAGCAAGGTAAATCAAGCAAATAATTTATATCACTAGCTAAGACCAACAGGCAGCTAAATGTGCACTATTATCTCTCTCGAACACATTCACACTGACATATACAGCAGGCAATTAATAACAAACACACAATAAACATATATTCCGGGCGAGAAATTAGCATTTAACACCAAATATCTATTGCTTGTCAAGAAAGACAGACAGAGAGAGGAGAGAAAGAAAGAGGGGAAGAGAGCGAGAATTGCAGGAAGAGAAAAGTAATTCCAGCTAGTGTTGAAATTTAGTAACTGTTCAACACTTGAACCTTGGTAACTTATATTACATAATTGCACCTAATGACATGCAACGAAATTACCCAAAATTCAATTTCCGCAACACACAGACACACGACACACACACACAAACTGCAAAGCGACAGCTTGTGTAGAAATACAAGTCTTTGGTTGCATACAAAAGCCAAAATAACATAATTATGCTGACGAGCAGTTTAGAATGGGTGCTGTGGGCTGTGTAGAGGGGCGGGGGATAGTAGCTGCCTGCTAGCTGCTCATTAATAGCAATTTAATTGTGCTCATAATTAAGTTCTTGTCTGTGTGCGTGCGTGTGTGTCTGAGGTCAGTTTTGTGGCATAGCTACTCGAATGACTCGAGGCCAACTAAGTGCCTTCCACAGGTACTGGCAGAAATTCGAAATAATTAATATTAAATCATTAACACTGCGCAATGGGCATCGAAGGCACTTAGAGGCAGTTGGTTTCCAACTATTCCGAATAGAGCATCCTTTCATTATCATTTACGTTCGTTATTCCGTTGAATATAGAGCTATGCATAGAACAAGTTACTAATTAGATACCACTGTCTTGCGAATTTAAGGCCAGCTACTACTGATTTATGTATTTTCTAGCCATTGCTCAAACAGGCTGGCTGTGAGTATGCAGCCAAGAAGAAGAAAAAATAGATATAGTTGCACATAAGCGAATTGAAACTGTGTCAAAGATGGCCAACAAAAAAAAAAAAAAAAAACAGGAGGAACTTTGTTGGCGCCGCTGCGGCGACGACAGGCAGTCAGCCAAATGAGCAGCCACTGACCCGCTGGGTGGTTTCAGCTGTTACGAATGGTCCAGTGGTTGCCTGTAATGTTCTTCTGGTTTCTGTGCACATGATTTATTATTTTATTTTTTTTTTTAAGTGTCCTCAGATACCCTGTGAGTAAAGTGCCAGAGTGTTGCCTTTGCATTTTGTAGATGATAAATTCTGAATGTGGTTTCTGCCGTGAATCAAATTTTACATTTCCCTTGATCGGACGAACGTGATATGATGATAAATTTCAAGCTTGTGTTTTGAATAAAAAAAGTTATATATTTTCTCTTAAAATGTAAAAACTTTGAGTATCCCGAATTAATGAATAGTAGTGAACAAAACAAAATTGTTTTCTCGAATTTCAGTCTTTAATCCTTTTTCTCGCTTGGAAGATATTTAATCTCTATGCTGGGCCTGTCATATTTAAGGTTGATGTCAAAGGGGGAGTAGTTTTCCTGTAAAAAAATTACAAAAATATATGCTTTTGTTTTCCTATATTGAAGGGTATATACATGTCGATCACTTGCTAGTTAGTTATTCCTTAAATTTATATTTTTGCTCGCTACTTGTAAAGTGTCTGGCCCTGAACGGCGCTCTTCTGCGCTCTTTCCTTATCCTAGTGCTACACCTCTTGATTCTCCCCGCCCTGTCTAATGTGCGAAATGACCCAGTGACAACTTGTGTAGCCAACTTTGGGCGCTTTCTTTGTTTGTGTGCTGCTGACCGAATGTGTGTCACTTACTTGGGAAACATTAAAAAAGGCACATATATTTATAATACTTGGTATATACTTGAATTTCGCACACTATTTAACCGGACACTTGTCGCTTGGAATTTATGTGTCGACTGGGCCTGATTTATGGGCCAGTCCCGAGGGTGCGTGGGGCGTGGCATCGAGTACACTGGTACCGCAACTCAAGCATCGATAATTATGAAACAATATTTGCTGTTGGCTCCTTAGACTCATAATTAAACAGCTGCAAATTTACATTTATGTTTTGTGGCTGCCGCTAATGAAACTTGCGTGCAGAATTTTAAAGGCGCCTTAAAGTGCTCGTAGCGTCGTCCTTGTCCTTGTTGGCTAATTTGGTTTCGGGGTGGCGACGTGCGGCATGTCGGCCTCCCTAGTCGCCAGGGCGAATTTAAAACAATTGCGCCGCGCGCAGCTTGGCTGCTTATACAATTTGGTGGGGTCTGGCAACGCTGCTGCCGCCATTTTGTGCTCGTTTCGCTGTCTGTGTGCGCGCATTTGTATGAGTGGTTTGTGCGTGTGCATGTCCTGCGGGAGTTTTTGCCCACATTTTTGTACGTGGCCTGCAGCCCTTTTTGCTTTACATCAGAAATGATGCTAACCACCAAGAGGTTGAGCACCAAGGTGTTTGGGGGCTGGGGCGTAGTGGTGTATGACAGCGTTTCGGGTCTGGGACTTGCCTGCGGCTCCCCAAGCAGCTTGCCAGTTAGGCTAACAGCTAGTTAGCTGCAGCTAAGTCAAAGCTTTCGGCTCAAATGTTAGCCAAAGCGTTTTTAAAGCACTTCTTACCCACTTTTACTGCCATGATAAATATAAGTGTTTATAATGTATACTGGAATGTGCCTCGTTAAAATGAATTTACAAAACTAAATTCAAGCACTCATCGTTTTTGATTTATTTATTTTTAATTTTTTCCCCTTGTCACTGTAATTTTAATGCAAATATAAATTTGATATTAAAACTTTTGACGTAACAATCATGCTCGCCAATTCAACAACCAAAAAAAATATGTAGATGAGTCGCTTTATCAACATTTTTTACGCAGCAATTTCTTTTGGCTTTGCGCCCGGGAATGCAATGCCAAACAAAAGTAGTTTAGCATTCCTTGCGGCTCGTTTGAGGGATGTTTCGATGGCTGTCTTGAGGTTTCCAGCCCTCTGCTCTGCGGGAACGACAGTCGAACCTCATGACATTTAAATTCAATATGTTAATGAGCCGGGGTCTGAAGCGGTCTGGTCGCCAGGTGTTGCATAACTTTGTGGCGACAGCTGAAGGACAGCCACAAGGTCAGTCACAAAAACTTTCAATTCGAATTTCGGGCATGTTCTGTATAAAAAAGGTTCCTATCCTGAACTATCGCAAGTTTTGTCAAAATAAATATAAATATGTATTTTGTTTTGTATTTGGCTGGTAACGTCTTTATAAAGCATAGCCCTTACGATTTTCCAAGTGATATCTTGGGACTCAAATTATTATACATTCAAATTTAATTGTAATACGGAAAAATGGATATTAGTAGAAAATATTAATTTAAACCATTATGAATATTTACAATGCTGCGTAGTTTGCTGTTAAGTAGGGTAGGGTGATCATACAAGCCGATCTAAGAGATCGATTGGATAAGACCTCCGCAGTCTCCTCTGCATATGGAGTCCTCCAATTCTACGTCTCCTTAGTTGGCGCCAGCCAGACAATCGGGATGACTTACAAGCCGCGAAATATATACGCCCGTGTCTATTTATAACGTCCCCGAGCCCGTAGGTATCATGTAAGAGGGAATACAGCGTGGGTCCCGATTTGCTAGGTAGCTAGCACAATCAAATAAAGTTGAGGGAAGAAGTATTTTCCAAAAAAAACGGTCATTTTCTCTAAAGTGTGCTCGAATTCAATTAGGACTCTTGGCATTTTAATTGAATT